TTGATCCTATATAGTTTGTCTTCATAGTCATGTTTTACTTTAGTTTGGTCTTCATCTACTCCCATTTCTCTCTATTAGAGTCATCCTTCTCTCTTTACTACAACCTTCCACTTCTGAGTCTTATTTCTGGCGATTACCAGCAGCCTGACGAGTAAGACACATATGCAGTAGTTGGGCTTCTTTATTGTTGAAACATTTCGCCCAAGTGGTAGGTTTCTTCAGTCAAATACGAAGAGAGTAGATTGCGGCTAGCAGTAATGGCGAGGTAAAGTTGATGTAATCAGTTCTTCAACCTTGGAAAAATAATTTGAAGCCTACCGAGTAGGCGAAACGTTTCAACATTAAAGACACCTAACTTTTGCACGTATCTTTTCAATAGTTTGCCCTTGTATTAAACATATATTTCTGATCTTCATGAAAAATCAGAGGCCTGGGCTATGATGTATCGCCAAAGCCTCACTTTACAGTATTAATAAATTTGCAACACTAAACATTATATTGAAGAATACAGATGGTTTTCTCACTTTCAGACTTGCTTTAACATTCTAGTGCTTAAGCCAAAGTTTACGCCCCTGACCACTGTTGAGAAAGTGTTGGCCACAGACCTGAAGACAACAGTTGGGGTCCAAGTCAATGACGGGATATCATGTAGAGGCCCACCTGTTCTTGAAGGCCAGGTATGATTGTGTGTATTAGTATTCGAACTGGTCTCTTGACTTTTGTAAATAAGTTTCAGAAAATTGCTTGCATTTCCTGGAGAAATAACGGAAAATTCCAACCATCCTTCACTCTATAAACATCATCCTTCACTCTTTAAACGTCATCCTTCTCTCCTTACACATTATCCTTCACTCTTTACGCAACATCCTTCACTCTTTACACATCATCCTTCACTCTTTACACATCATCCTTCACTCTTTGCACATCATCCTTCACTCTTTAAACATCATCCTTCACTCTTTAAACATCATCCTTCACTCTTTACACATCATGCTTCACTCATTGTACAAAATGTTTCCTGTTATACACTTTGCATCATTTCTTTTTGTTATTTCAGAATAATAAATATACTTTAGCTAATCCTGTTGCTTGTTCAAGTTTCCCTGGTCCTGATCGTATAGTTTTACTTTAATTTAGTTATGTATATGTCTGTCATTCTTAAAGCCTTTACCTCAGCTTGGATCATCTTTCAGGGCGCCTTAGATGTGAGTGAGGAGGCAATGATTCGTTTGAGAGAGGAACTGGCAGAACACTGTGACTCTGAAACCGTCCATCCACTGCCACTCGAAATCATCACTTCACCTCTCTACGACCACGCCCACTTCAAAGCACAGTGGACTGAGGTATGGGATTATACGTATATACGTATATATATATATATATATATATATATGTGTGTGTGTGTGTGTGTGTGTGTGTGTGTGTGTGTGTGTGTGTGTGTGTGTGTGTGTGTGTGTTTGTTTGCTTGTTTGTGTGTACGTATGCAATATGTAACATTTTCAATAACTTCTAATCCATGTCTGGGTATGTGTATGTATTATCGTCTTCATTATGTGTGTTTTCCTGGCACAGGACTATCCACTAATCCTGAAGAACCTGACTAACAGCTTGAATGACATTGTCGATGGAATACTCTTCCCACTTGTTTCCTACGACCACACCGCTACCAACCCCGAGTACACCAGGGAGATTGATGCAACTAAGTAAGTACATGAAACTATGGATATACCAACTTAATTTCTAGTTTGGACAAATATGTTAACGCTGGTCATTGAGTCCGTGACGAGGCATCAGGATTTGGAGGTTTGACGAAATTAAATATGTAAATTGGACACATGGATGTCAAGTAATACGTCTTCAGACAGTGGATGATAGGAAATATAACAACCTAAATAAAGAAGTGTTGTAGGCAGATTCTATACATAGACTTAAGAAATGTTGTGATAGAACCCAGAAGACTTGACCTCCGCAAATACACACTACAGGCTAAACTTGAGTGCTAAGTAAAACTGGTATTTTTAGTGATAGAAAATGTAGAAAAAAAATAAGGAAAATTAGCAAAGAACACATAAAATTCTCTAACTTTTTTTTTAATCGACACTAATTTGTTTAAAATAAAGGAAGTTGATGTAATTATTTCACGATCTTCCTAAATAAAGGGGTACACTTTAACAAATTTCATGCTTTACCTGGAGTATACCTAAAGGGTGTTTCGGGAGTCAACGCCCCAGCGGCCAGGTCCATGACCAGGCCCCGCGATGGATCATTGCCTGATCAACAAGGTTGTTACTACTGGCCTTTGAACAAGTGTTTAAACAAATGCCTGCAAAGAGCCTGAAAACAACCTGAAACTTCCATATTAATAAGTATTTCTCCTCTGCAGAGACCTAGACACCAACCGTTGGACAATAAGAGACAAAAGACCGAATCTTGTGGCAGTAACCAGTGACTTGAAGGTCCCAGTATTGTTCCAGGAATTCTTAAGCCCAGCCAAGATAACTAGAACATTTAATTATAACTTTATAGAGGGACGTACTTCCTCCACATGTTTTATTAAGACAACAAAGGTGAGAACGTTCATTGGAGTTAAAAATTTAGTCCCAGTCCACTTGCTTTAAAAGCACAAATTTCTAATCCCGAAGAATTAGCTTTCAATAAAAATATTTTTTAGATTCGTGATAATTATTATTATTATTATTATTATTATTATTATTATTATTATTATTATTATTATATTATTTATTATTATTATTATTATTATTATTATTATTATTATTATTATTATTATTATTATTATTTATATTTTTATTATTATATTATTATTATTATTATTACATATTAATAGAGAAGTGGTAAACCCGCGAGGAGCAAAGGCGCTTGAGGAATGGAAGACAATATAGTCTGACTTGAGGAAAAGAAGAATAGCTCCGAGTCCTTGAATCAAGTTCTTTTCAGCATAAACCTGTTAAAGAACATACACCTGTTGAAGAACATACACCTGTTGAAGAACATACACCTGTTGAAGAACATACACCTGTTGAAGAACATACACCTGTTGAAGAACATACACCTGTTGAAGAACACACACCTGTTGAAGAACATACACCTGTTGAAGAACATACATCTGTTGAAGAACATACACCTGTTGAAGAACATACACCTGTTGAAGAACATACACCTGTTGAAGAACATACATCTGTTGAAGAACATACACCTGTTGAAGAACATACACCTGTTGAAGAACATACACCTGTTGAAGAACATGCACCTGCTGAATAACATACACCTGTTGAAGAACATACACCTGTTGAAGAACATACACCTGTTGAATAACATACACCTGTTAAAGAACATACACCTGTTGAAGAACATGCACCTGCTGAATAACATACACCTGTTGAAGAACATACACCTGTTGAAGAACATACACCTGTTGAATAACATACACCTGTTGAAGAACATACACCTGCTGAATAACATACACCTGTTGAATAACATACACCTGTTGAAGAACATACACCTGCTGAATAACATACACCTGTTGAAGAACATACACCTGTTGAAGAACATACACCTGTTGAAGAACATACACCTGTTGAAGAACATACACCTGTTGAAGAACATACACCTGTTGAAGAAACACACACTGTTGAAGAACATACACCTGTTGAAGAACATACATCTGTTGAAGAAATTACACCTGTTGAAGAACATACACCTGTTGAAGAACATACACCTGTTGAAGAACATACATCTGTTGAAGAACATACACCTGTTGAAGAACATACACCTGTTGAAGAACATACACCTGTTGAAGAACATGCACCTGCTGAATAACATACACCTGTTGAAGAACATACACCTGTTGAAGAACATACACCTGTTGAATAACATACACCTGTTAAAGAACATACACCTGTTGAAGAACATGCACCTGCTGAATAACATACACCTGTTGAAGAACATACACCTGTTGAAGAACATACACCTGTTGAATAACATACACCTGTTGAAGAACATACACCTGCTGAATAACATACACCTGTTGAATAACATACACCTGTTGAAGAACATACACCTGCTGAATAACATACACCTGTTGAAGAACATACACTGTTGAAGAACATACACCTGTGAAGAACATACACCTGTTGAAGAACATACACCTGTTGAAGAACATACACCTGTTGAAGAACACACACTGTTGAAGAACATACACCTGTTGAAGAACATACACCTGTTGAAGAACATACACCTGTTGAAGAACATACACCTGTTGAAGAACATACACCTGTTGAAGAACACACACCTGTTGAAGAACATACACCTGTTGAAGAACATACACCTGTTGAAGAACATACACCTGTTGAAGAACATACACCTGTTGAAGAACATACACCTGTTAAAAATGCAATACATGAGAGGTGTTACCTTGAATTAGTGACATTGTACATAAGTTAATTGTTTTATAGATAAATTATTAATTTCATATATAGATTTATTATTTATAGATAACTAGTTATTTTGTATATAAATTACATATTTATATAAAGATCAGTAATTCTAAATATATAAATTACCCAAAGAAACAGATAATCATATAATTATAACAACAGAACAACAGTAATTATAATAATAATAATAATAATAATAATAATAATAATAATAATAATAATAATAATAATAATAATAATAATAATAATAATAATATTGCATATGTATATGAGTTATGATGGGTTATAGGATATATACACTGAGGTATATTTCTCTCTCATCGTATATATACTGAGAGTTTAATTTGATCCCTTATTTAGGAATTATAGCAATCTTGTCTGGTGGAGAAAGTTAATGACTATAGTGTTAATGACTATAGTGGTTTTCAATCCCATTAACCAACCCACCAATGCACCAGGCAGGTAATGTGCCTTGATGCCGGTAAAAGTCTCTTGATCACAAAGAATAAGAGTCATCCTTATTATTCCCCATTTTCCAGGCTTCTGTTTTTATCCCAACTGGTTTAGCACTTCCCCATGAATATAATGATATAATACTTGGCAGGTAATTGGTCTTTCGTATTTGTGTGGAAAAAGACATTTATACAAATCAGGACATTTATTGGAGGAAAGGTTTCGCCACTACTGGCTTATTCAGTCCTAATATACAGAGATAACTAAGAACGATTATATACAAAGTCTTTCCACCTGACTCCTACCACGATTTATACTCGTACTTAGTTATTAAGACTGAAGAAGACACTCGGGGCGAAACGTTTCCTCTAATAAAGGTCCTGAACTGCACATAAGTGTCTTTTTCCACAGCTTGTCGGTATCACCATACCATTTTTCTTTTTAATTGTATTCAGTTGCAAATGACAAATCCGTATTGGAAATACGTGGCTTGGGGGACTGGGAAGTAAAACTGATTTGATCAGAAGTGAACAAATCGTATTCCTCGGGTCAAGAACCCTTCTGCGATATCACTATCACTCAGAAGTCATTTCCTTTTTGAATATATATATATATATATATATATATATATATATATATATATATATATATATATATATATATATATGTGTGTGTGTGTGTGTGTGTGTGATATTATATATATATATATATATATATATATATATATATATATTATGTGTGTGTGTGTGTGTGTGTGTGTGTGTGTGTGTGTGTGTGTGTGTGTGTGTGTGTGTGTGTGTGTGTGTGTGTGTGTATGTGTGTGTGTGTGTGTGTGTGTGTGTGTGTGTGTGTGTGTGTGTGTGTGTGTGTGAGTGTGTGTGTGTGTGTGTGTGTGTGTGCGCGTGTGTGTGTGTGTGTGTGTGTAATGTTATTTCTTGTATTTACATTTTCTTCTCTTCCAGGTGGTTACGTTTGACGGTGTGGCGTTTCCTTATCAGGCTGACAGCTGCTGGGTCACCATCGCTATCAGCTATGGCCAGTACGACGGAACACAGTATCGCTTGAATAGCATGGCCAAGGCCAGGTTCACAGACCAGTGGGAGGTACAGGCTATCTGGCCCTGGGGTGGATTAGTCATCGATATAACCAAGTCCCATATTCTGGTAAGTTCGCACTTCCTGGTACTGTATTTTCCTGCTGCGACAACCGCCATTTTCCAGCTATATATTTTTTTCTGTTTCCATTAAGTCTATGTGATGTTGGGAAGTCTATGTAAAAATGCATTTAACAATAGATGGAGCTATACAGGTAGAGTTCTTTCCAACATTCTGTGAATCAGAAGGTATAGTCATGAACATATATATATATATATATATATATATATATATATATATATATATATTATATATATATATATATATATATATATATATATATATGTATATATATATATGCATATATATATACATATATATATATATATATATATATATATATATATATATATATATATATATATATATATATATATGTATATATATATATATATATATATATATATATATATATATATATATATATATATATATTTTATATATATATATATATATATATATATATATATATATATTGGCGGAGAGCATGTATAGTCCCTTTATATAAAGGGAAAGGGGACAAAAGAGACTGTAAAAATTATAGAGGAATAAGCTTACTGAGTATACCAGGAAAAGTGTACGGTAGGGTTATAATTGAAAGAATTAGAGGTAAGACAGAATGTAGGATTGCGGATGAGCAAGGAGGTTTCAGAGTGGGTAGGGGATGTGTAGATCAAGTGTTTACATTGAAGCATATATGTGAACAGTATTTAGATAAAGGTAGGGAAGTTTTTATTGCATTTAGGGATTTAGAAAAGGCATATGATAGAGTGGATAGTGGAGCAATGTGGCAGATGTTGCAAGTATATGGAATAGGTGGTAAGTTATTAAATGCTGTAAAGAGTTTTTATGAGGATAGTGAAGCTCAGGTTAGGGTGTTTAGAAGAGAGGGAGACTATTTCCCGGTAAAAGTAGGTCTTAGACAGGGATGTGTAATGTCACCATGGTTGTTTAATATATTTATAGATGGGGTTGTAAAGGAAGTAAATGCTAGGGTGTTCGGGAGAGGGGTGGGATTAAATTTTGGGGAATCAAATTCAAAATGGGAATTGACACAGTTACTTTTTGCTGATGATACTGTGCTTATGGGAGATTCTAAAGAAAAATTGCAAAGGTTAGTGGATGAGTTTGGGAATGTGTGTAAAGGTAGAAAGCTGAAAGTGAACATAGAAAAGTTAAGGTGATGAGGGTGTCAAATGATTTAGATAAAGAAAAATTGGATATCAATTTGGAGAGGAGGAGTATGGAAGAAGTGAATGTTTTCAGATACTTGGGAGTTGACGTGTCGGCGGATGGATTTATGAAGGATGAGGTTAATCATAGAATCGATGAGGGAAAAAAGGTGAGTGGTGCATTGAGGTATATGTGGAGTCAAAAAACGTTATCTATGGAGGCAAAGAAGGGAATGTATGAAAGTATAGTAGTGCCAACACTTTTATATGGGTGTGAAGCTTGGGTGGTAAATGCAGCAGCGAGGAGACGTTTGGAGGCAGTGGAGATGTCCTGTTTAAGGGCAATGTGTGGTGTAAATATTATGCAGAAAATTCGGAGTTTGGAAATTAGGAGAAGGTGTGGAGTTAATAAAAGTATTAGTCAGAGGGCAGAAGAGGGGTTGTTGAGGTGGTTTGGTCATTTAGAGAGAATGGATCAAAGTAGAATGACATGGAAAACATATAAATCTATAGGGGAAGGAAGGCGGGGTAGGGGTCGTCCTCGAAAGGGTTGGAGAGAGGGGGTAAAGGAGGTTTTGTGGGCGAGGGGCTTGGACTTCCAGCAAGCGTGCGTGAGCGTGTTAGATAGGAGTGAATGGAGACGAATGGTACTTGGGACCTGACGATCTGTTGGAGTGTGAGCAGGGTAATATTTAGTGAAGGGATTCAGGGAAACCGGTTATTTTCATATAGTCGGACTTGAGTCCTGGAAATGGGAAGTACAATGCCTGCACTTTAAAGGAGGGGTTTGGGATAATGGCAGTTTGGAGGGATATGTTGTGTATCTTTATATGTGTATGCTTCTAGACTGTTGTATTCTGAGCACCTCTGCAAAAACAGTGATAATGTGCGAGTGTGGTGAAAGTGTTGAATGATGATGAAAGTATTTTCTTTTTGGGGATTTTCTTTCTTTTTTGGGTCACCCTGCCTCGGTGGGAGACGACCGACTTGTTGAAAAATATATATATATATATATATATATATATATATATATATATATATATATATATATATTATATTATATATATATATATATATATATATATATATATATATATGTATATATATATATATATATATATATATATATATATATATATATATATATATATATGTATATATATATATATATATATATATATATATATATATATATATATATATATATATATATATATATATATATAGATAGATAGATAGATAAATAGATAAATAGATAGAGAGAGAGATAAGAAGATAAATAATTAGATAATTACACAGAGAAATAAGTAGATAGATAAACAAATGACAATAAATTTTGATTAATGTAAAGAAGAAAAATATACATTAAAAAACTAAGATATTGTTTCCCTAAGTGTTCCGCTTATTACACCTTCAGGGAAACACAGTTGCTGTTAAGACTAAACACTTTTCCTCTCGCCAACAGATAAATGGTGAGGACTACGAGGGAGAAAACCAGTTCGTTAAATTCACCAAAAATGAGAATGCCAGTATGTTCTTCTTCAAGAGTTTGGGATTTGTGATAATAATTTCTGACAAGATTCAATTTAGAGTAAGTGTTTAATGGTTATATAATAATATATTTGTTTAGGCAACTGTGGAATGAGAAATGATTTGTCTTAATGAAACTCAAATCTCTGATATGTCAATGGTACGGATTGGGATACTTTTCTTGAAGGATTTTGAATTTAATATGCCATTTCGCCTACCTATACCGCCTTTGATAACTTCTACACATAAAAAGGTATGTTAATGGCTAAATTATAATCATAATTATGAAAGGGGTGAACCGGTAAACCAACGGAAGGCCTCTGTCAGATGACCAAAAGCTTCAGCTGCGGGTCATCAAATGACTAAGACCCGCGTCACGAAACACTTGATTTGTTTCCTGACGAATCTTTCCTTACATAACTTACATACACATGTGTAATAAACCTCTCAAATCACAGAACGGGTAGGGATCGAATCCATGATAGAGGAGTTCTTTAATTCTCAGGCCACGGGTTCTAGTTCCGTCCGTTCTGTCATTTGTTTACAACCATGTTATTTTTTGTAAGCCTCTTAAGATTCGGACCAACGACCCTGGCAAGTGAGACGTGAGTTCGTTATTTGTTTATGATAGAAGTTTATGAAAGAAGTTCTGCTTGTGAAATATCATCTTAAAATTCAGAACTCTTCCTTCGGTTTCTTGCTAATGAAGATATATTTTGCAGATGCCTAAGATTTTAAACGGAAACCTACACGGACTGTGTGGCAGAATGGACGGGGAGAAGAGACATGACCTGGTGGGACCCACTGGCTGCATCTTCACCAACCCGAGTCTCTTCGCTCTGTCCTGGACCACTCAAGGTGAAGGCTGCTCCCTCTTTAGTCTACGATCAAAGAAGCGAGGTGTAACGCAGTACCAGGAGGCATGTCCTCGTGAGGACTACACCCCCACCGCAGTGTCTCATCCCAGTGGTAAGATTTTAGTACTGAAGAAAAGGCATTCTGTGGGTGATGAGCAAGCTTTTATGGTAACAACGTTTTGTTCTATGGAGCGCTTTATCAAACTCTAAGAGGAACGAAAGGGTGTCACAAGAAAAGCAATACTGTTGATATTACCCCTTTGTATCAAAGTTGATGTCTTCACCATCATCATTTCCTTCTCTCAGATATTTATAACAATTCAGCACTTCAGACGCAATAGTTTATATACAAATTTTAAAGCAAAATCAATAATGCTAAACATAGAAAAGCAACGTAATGCGAAACCTCATGATACTTGAATACAACGTAATATTCGTTACTGTATCGCATATAAAGCATTGAAAGTTAATTCTGCGTGTTAATCTGGTAGAGAATATATCCTTGTAACCGTTTAACATCACCTGTTATTCCTCTACTACAGTTGTGTATGACTGCACTGAATGGGAGTACAAGGAACTTACCACTGGAGACGTTAGATGTATCGCCAATGAACCAACACCGGTTTGCAAACCTGGCTGCAAGAAAACCAGCGACACCAGAAAACCTGTGAGCGTTTCAAGTGAAAATTTGTATGCATGGGTATATAGTATGGTGATAGAAATATGTCATGGGGTACTGAGTGTGGTTCACACAAGTTCTGTGACTGTATAATGGGGTATATACCTCTCACAAGATTTGTGAACCTCTCTTTCAATTTGGGAATTTAAAAAAAATGTGCATATAACACAAATTGAAAGAAAAGGATGCAAAAATTAGTATCGTGATTTTTTTTTTTTATTTAGACAGGAGCAAAATATTATTTATTTTCAAATACGAGCATACTGCTAAGATACTTTCAATAATTATATAAATTATTACTATCAGTATTATTATTAATTCAATAATAATAATAATTATTAATATAATTATTGTTATTGTTATTGTTCTTATTATTATTAGCATTATTGTTGATTCTATAACTGGAATATTCCGTTATAGAATCAATAATAATATATTTTAACTTATGCATTATTTTTCATTAGCATTCTGAAGGTACGAGGAACCCCTATTATTAAATCCACTTGTTGACTTGGCCAGATTGAATACGACTGTACGATAACTGGATCTGATCAGCCTGAAGCCTACTGTCAGTCAAGTGGACAAGGAAGAAACCTCACCAAGGAGTGTTTTCCACACACCCGCGTCACTACGTACCCTGCCTCCTGCCTGCCTCAGTGATACTCTGATAACCTGCTCTTCTGTGCTGCGTGCCTCAGTGATACAACCTGCTCACCACCTACCCCACCTCCTGCGTACCTCAGTGATACAACCTGCTCACCACCTACCCCACCTCCTGCGTACCTCAGTGATACAACCTGCTCACCACCTACCCCACCTCTTGCGTACCTCAGTGATACAACCTGCTCACCACCTACCCCACCTTTTGCGTACCTCAGTGATACAACCTTCTCACCACCTACCCCACCTCTTGCGTACCTCAGTGATACAACCTGCTCACCACCTACCCTACCTCCTGCAAGCTTCAGTATTATATCCTGGTCGCCACCAACCCGTCCTCCTGCATGCTCCCACTGACACACCCGGCATCTTGCGTGCATTATAATTACTGTGCAAAAAGACACTTATGTATAGTGCAGAGGACGCCCTAAATGCCATCAGTAACAATCTCTAAGAAGTCTGGCAGTTACGCTGTCTAAACTGTTTGCCTACAAGATATTACCCATTTTGGAAACTACTGTAACGTGATATCGACTTGAGTACTCTGTATTGAGAAACACTGCTCCAGGTCTTCTACTACCATTACTACTGCTGCTACCACTACTGCTACTATTACTACTACTACTACTATTATTACTACTACTACTACTATTACTACTACTACTACTACTACTACTATTACTACTACTACTACTACTACTACTACTACTACTGTTACCACGACTACTACTACTACTACTACTGTTACCACGACTACTACTACTACTACTACTGTTACCACGACTACTACTACTACTATTGCTATTACTACTACTACTAGTGCTAATACTTCTGCTACTACTACTACCATTACTACTGCTACTTCTACTACTGTTACTACTACTACCACCACTACTACTACTACTTCTACTACCATTACTACTGCTACTACTGCTACTTCCACTATTACCACGACTACTAATACTACTACTGCTGCTACTAATACTACTGCTACTAATAATACTACTTCTGCTACCATTACTATTACTGCTACTACTACTATTACTACGACTACTACTACAACTACTATTACCACGACTACTACTACTGCCACTACTACTACTGTCACTACTACTACTGCCACTACTACTACTACTGCTACTACTTCTACTACTACCACTACTACTACCCTCCCGCAACTTCCCATCTGACTCCCACCACTATTTATACTTCTTAGTTGTCTCTATTAGGACTGAAGAATCACGTAGCGAAACGTTCCTTTTAATAAATATCCTGATTGTAGATGAATGTTCCCGAATAGTGCTCCGGGGCCACCTTCTACGAACCTAGCCTTTGGTAGTAGCACTTCCCTCGCTCAGCTTCGAAGGCGTCTGCAGCAATGTCCTGCTTCGCTGACCCGTTCTCGTCATTTTACGCTGGGGCGCAAATCCTTCTTTTTACTTTGCATTTATCCGGCCCTATCAGGATTCTGGCTGTTACTGCCTCTTTCACTGCAAGGTCCCTATGAGTGGGTCCTTCAGATGATTGTCAGTTCGCTGGTG